TTGTTCATTATTTTCGTGCATGTTTTCATTTGCCGTTCTATTCCCGTCCGCAGTTCGATCGAACTGCGTGTTGCCGATTTCGCGAATTTTCAGTTTTTTTGCCGGGGATATCCTGGCAAACGCCCACCCTTCTTTTTGGTAATTTTTCATGTTCAAGACCCTGGGCTTATACCCGGATAAATACGGTATATGATGGCTGTTCATGTACACCCAGTCATAGAGGGTGCTGTTGTTTTCTCTCTCTTATCATGTATTGCAATGGGACAAAAATCATTTTACTTAAATCATAGTGCCACATAGAAGTTTCATCCAAACATTAATAAATTGTCAACATGCCAGAGAAGGTGTACAGTTTTTCTCATGCGTTATTGCTTTATTAATTGCTTCTTTGTGAATATAAATACCTTCTTTAGATTGAACCTGAGGCGTCTATTGTGCCAACATTTGAGATAGAAGATAATTGGGAAAAGATAGAGGGACCCACATCAATAGCAGAGCTTGCCATAGATCAACCACTGTGTAATTATGCACTGGTAGATTTACATAAACAGCTGTGTACAATATTAAACAGTGTACTGGCATTCTACATGAGATCAGTCAAACCACTGTCACTGTTTAATTCAAAAGGAAGGAATGCATTGTTTAAAGACTTGAACTCCAACCCACCATTGCCGTCGCATGATGTGGATGTGTCGCTTCTCAATTCAAGACAGAAGGTAATTAAATATATCACTTTATTACTTGTATTGTGAGGACTTCAGAGTTAAGAGGGTGCCCATTTTGGGAGAACAATTTGATAAAATTGCTGTGACGTATAGAATGACATAGAGATAAAACTGAGGTAAACTCCTTTGTCATCAAATAAAAAATAATTGTACTGGTTTTGTGAAATTCATACATTTGCCATCTTAAAGCATTGGAGTAACACTTCAATAGTGATAGCTAGGGATATACCGGCTGATTTCTGCAAGAAGCCTGTCTCAAATGTTGAAACTACAGTACATGTATTTGTGTTATGCACCTGTTATTTTAATTGCAATTGAATCTCATAAACCAGTTATACCGATAATATGTTTCCCAAGATTCATCTACAGATCAAACGTTGCAAATGTTTTAAATTATTTATTGTGGTCAAGTCATGAGAGAGATATGATTAATAGCAGCCAGATTATAATGAATGTATTGCCTCTATTGTGTTTGTTGTCAGTTTCTATGCAGAGTGATTACCGCCTCAGTGGGAACCGTAGAGTTGATGGAAGATAGCAGTACAAGACATGTGTCATTAGAATGGCCATTAACAATAATACAGCTCGGCATGGCTTTAAATGTAGATGTGGATTTATTGAAAAGACATTATGTTTACCAGTTATATGGTAGTGGTTATGATGCCATGGCACAAGAGGTGAGAGATCAATTGTTTCTTTAAATCGCTACCATTAAAAAAAAATCCTCAAAATCCAGCAATAGAGATTGGTTTACTCTACTGATTGAAATACTGAAAAAATAATTTATGGTCACCGAAATAAGTTTTTCTCAAAACAAACTTGAAATTTGATTAAAAATGTTTTGTTTTTTTAATAGTCTACAATTGGTTCTCAGAATTTTGTTTAGTGACCTATGCTGACAAAATGATATGTAGTGTTATGGGGCTACATATGACTGCCACAAAAATGGAAGAATTTTGAATATTAGTATTATCCATGATATAATGTGTTTACTTGGAATCCTATAGAAAATGTTCCAAAAAATGTTAAATATGAATGACATGCATGTATGTGAATCATCACACAACAATTTTTGAATGATTGTTATTTTTCATGCTGAGTTAAAATACTGCATGGATTAATAGTTCCTTACATGTTGTGTGATTTCTTGCCTATCACTTTAATCTGTTACTTACCCATATCTATATGTTATTGTTACTAGGTTCTTCATACAGTTCATGAGCATGCTGAGATGGGTGTGTTATTACTACGTATAGTTGGCTACAGATTGGCACATTTAGTGGTCAATCCTGATGCTGCACATGTTGAAAAGTTGTCTCGTCTTCCTGTGCCCCTTGTCGCCTGGATTAAAGGATTGGTAAGCCACCATCTCAAGTTGTATTCAGTTGATTGTATTATATTTGGACACTTCATACAAAAACAAACTGCTTAGCAGTTTAGAACTCGCAAGCTCACAATTCACATGTGTTAAGTGCTACATTCCAAAGTTGTGATGAAATCTTACGCTGAGTTGAGCCTCCGAGTGGCTTGTTGAAGAGTTACCTTCAGTCAGTTTCATAAAAAACTTATTATCAATAACCAGTTTGTTGGACTCGCATTAATCATTTTGTTTTCGCCATTAGTATTTTTTTTTATGATGTCACCATTTGAGGGCAGGAAATTTGGTGATAGTCACTACATCTCACTGCATCATTGCCTTCAAGATGAGATCCCATTGCTACAACGTGTTTCTTTACCATCTGATACTTTAACAGAACATACTAGTAGAAAGTAAGGACTATACATATAAATAATAAACTGATACATCGGCTTTTGTCTTACATTTCAGGATGAATCAGATGTGAGGAATGTTAACATACCACTTACTGACACTGCCATATTGATTGGCCATATTGTGAATCAACTACCAGAGAACCATCCATTATATTCATTATCTGTGCAACTAGTGGAAGCAATTGATGCACTCAGATAACACCCATGCAATTATCTAATCCAGAGACTTGTCAACTAGACACTGTAGAGGAACAATGGGATGAGAATAAACATACAGTTTATATGGCTTATGCAATAGAGATTTGATGGAAATGCCTAGGCTAGTTATGTTACAGATAACATAGCAAATGTTGAACTTTACACTTATATAAATGTTTATTATATCTCACTGTATCTTTGTAATATTTGAGATAAAGAAATTTATTTATATGCAATTGTATTATGCAGTGAATTCAAAGGCATGAATGCATGACGGTTTTAATAAATATGGCATTCTACAAATGTTATAGGGATTCGGATATATATTTATATCATCACCTACATTATTGATATTATCAATTTTTCCTCAACTCTTTAATAACCGTCTTCCTATATGGGTCTCCCTGGTGATCACATTTGAAAATTTTTTTTATATTTTTGTGCCAGGTGACAGGTACCAGACATTTGAATATTACTGTTGTCTCTCTTTTTTTGTCATGTTCATTTTTCACAGTAACCATATACCGTACCATGTTTTGGACTGTGTGAAACCCACATGACCATCTTCCTATCTCAAAGGCTGTAGGGCAATTTAATGTGATATCCTGGCCCATCAACCAGGCCCAGTCAAAGACAAGCCTATCAACTCCTAGATAGGATTTGAACTTTAGTTTACCGATAATGGGGTCATTCCAACAACCACTGTGCTGTAGGTGATTCAGGTTTTGCCAAGATGAAGCTTTTATAGATTTTAAAGCAATTGACATATACTGAGTACCCTGTGATGGATGTATTATAACACTGGGTATGAAAACATGTTTTGTTGACATCACATCACTTAATCACATGGTACTTCAAAATAGTTTCACTCAGAATTATTAAATTTCTGAGTTTCTGTTTTACCTGGCATGTTCATTTAAGTACACCCTTCATATTTATTTCACTTCAATAATAATGGCAATTTGTAATACTTCATAAGTAGTTTTCTAGTCACGGAAATCTACCATTGCTGTGAAGAAACCTTCCAAGTTATGAATTGATCACCATGTTGTCTTTGCACTTTGCAACTTTGTCAGTTTTCTTCTTTTTACAATTGTTACTTTTCAAGTCTTTCTTGAATAACATAATTGATCTATTGACATGAAATTGTCTTTTTAAAAAAAATGTCTTGTAACAGATGAAATTCTGGTATTTTTTTCAAGGAAATTGCACACCTTGTGCTATTGGTATAAATTGTAAAATTCATTATTGGTAATGTATGTATTGTATAGCATAAGCTTTTTGTCTGGTTATGCAAGAAATTTAGTATTAAAGTGATAATTTTAAACCTTATAACTGGTTTTGAATTTATCGTCTTTTTTTTCTTACCAGTTTCCATGCACACTAGCAGTTGATGTAGCCATTGTCCAATGAATGCTATCGCCATATTTTTATCTTTAGCGAGAACATGTATATCTGTATCAGTGTGCATATAGATGGACCAAATATGCCAGAAAATGCAGTTTTCTTGCAATTCCTCTTCACTATTGAATATTATTCACAAATAATTAGGTTCAAATAGAAATAATATTTGTTACCACCACACAAAAAATGCCATAGTATGTATGTGAACCATAAAATAATTTATGTGATCCAATAAAAACAAAATATAATATGTGTTTCTCTATAGAGGGATTTCACTGTCCTGCTGTGTAATGAACTCAGTACCACCAGTCTTTATAACTGTCCTGGTCGGCAAGTGATTTATGTATTAATGAAGATTAGAGAAATTGGGTATTTTAAAATGCAGACCAGAAATCAGTTACCCCCTGTAACATGACTTTACTGTTCAAATCCCCTTTCGTATTCAGAATCATCGACCTCGAACTTGCCGTTGGTGGCGTACCACAAAACTAATCACTATTTGTACCTCAGGTTTAGTAATCTGGAATCCAGCCATTCAGAGTTCCGTTCCCAGTGCACTCATTATTATTCGTAGATTGTTTCACAATCTCACGATAATATACAGCATCTAGTCTATTGGGAACTAAAGCTTACTTTTATAGTAATACTATAGAACTAAACATCAATTTTATTTTCTTATTCATGATATA